CCCCAAAACCCCAAAACCCCTTACAATAAAAATAAAAAAATTGTCAATAATTAAGATAATTGATGATATTTATATTTCAAGTAGACTTTTGAAGAAGATTTGCGTCAGTTTATTAAGATAGTACCCATTGAACTGATCCATCTTAATCATATGATGTCGAGGAAAGCTAATATTGATTTCCATTTTGTTTCATATTTTCAATGTAATTTTTGTTTGTGAGAATTAAACTCTTATTTATCTATTTGCGTTTTTCAATTCTGTCTGACAATACTCGATTAAGAGGGTTTAATGGCTGGTTGAGTTGATTTTCTTCTTCCAAATATTCAAATTCTAATTCATCCCCAACATCTTTTTTTGAAAGATTAGATAAATTACTACTATTACCTGCTATTACAGTATTGTTGATATTTAATTGTCTCCCTGATTAAGATTAAGAACTGAACTCAGGAGTATTCTAAAGAGTTGAGCTGTTTCTTTGTAATTTTGTTTTGCCAAAATAGTAAAATAGAAAGAGAATTATTATGGAAATCAGAAAATATAGTGAGTCACTGACCATCTTCCTCAAGTCCATATTATCTCTCTCTTTAAGATAATCATCCTTATTTAGTTACTCGCATTTGTAAACCTCAATTACCAAAACTACATCTCTAAGGGCAAGCATTAATACATAAAATATAACAAGAGCAACGATAACTCCAAATATCTAAAATGATTTAACTGAATTGAATTACTGCAATAGTTTTAATAGACTTAAAGGTCAGACTCTTTCTTTTATGATTTACTATATTATTCAAAGAGTATATCAACCATATAAACAACAAAAGCATGAATAGGTCAATGACAAATTTAATCGATCCTATAACACTGAATATTTTGTGGAGTAAATCAATCTTACATAAATGTTATGGTTCGACCTTCAAATCCTGAGCAATTAGTGACATCAAACTGGCTTGATAATATTTGATCTTGGAATACAGTCATGACAATAAGAATGGCAATATATAGAATTAAATGAACAAGCATTGCTCTTGAAATTAAGAGTCTCTTTTTATTTCAATCATCTACATAATTAGTTTTCAGTATGATAGACACAGTCAACCTATAGGATTAACACGATAATTGGTTACAATTTAAAAACAAAGATATGCAGGACTGCAAGAAATGAACAATCAACTATATATTTTAATGATTCATTTAATGAAATATCCTTCACAAGCTATAAGGAATATTCCTCTTCTCTTATAAATAAGTCAATTGAGTTAAGCACAACATTTGCTAAAAATTATATAAAATCTTAGATATTTACTTAGAAAGCATATACTTTTAATGATAACGATTAGAGCCTAGTACCTATCAAGACTCAGTTTAATTTTAAATCGAAGTATCACAATGGCAGTAATGTAAAAAAAGGCATAAAACACATTCAAACTCAGAATGATCACCCCTTAATTGTATACATTTTATCTCATTACTAATATTTGTAATTTTACATAATTTCCTTAAACAATTAATCATGGGGTTTTGGGGTTTTGGGGTTTTGGGG